ATTGATCTCCAGTTTACGAATTCTCCCTGTGTGTGTCTGATCTGTTTGACTTGCCTGATAAGTAAGTCCCAAATTAAATTTTTTCAGTGTTCAGTACATTGTGACATTTCAAAAAAAATGGTAAAAGATACTATTTTTAAAATTAAAAATAAAATTGTTCTGTGGCCAGCATGATGGCGTAACAGGCCATACCACCACCCATTCAAGTCCTGGCTATTTCATTTGCTAATGATCTGGCAAAGCAGTGCAGGATAGCGCAGGGCCTTGGGCCGCTGCACCCCACCTGGAAGGCCTGGAAGAAACTCCTGGTCCCAGGTTAGGACCAGCCCATTTGGGGAGTGAATCAGTGGGTGGGAGATTTCTCTATTTCTTTTTCCCTCTCACTCACTCCCTTCTTGCTGTAACTCTGATTTTTAAGTACAAGTAGACCTTTAAAAAAAAAAAAAAACTTTTATTTTTTCTGAAAGGGATAAAGAGAGAAGAGAGAAAGAAGAGAGAGAGAGAGGGAGAGAGATCTCCCGTCTGCTGGTTCATTCCCCACATGCCTGCACCTGCTGGACAAGGCTCAGCTGAGTCTGCGGCTGGCAGCCTGGTTCAGGTCTCCCATGTGGGACAAGGACCCAACGACTTGAGCCATCACCTGCTGCCCCCCATAATGAGTATGAGTGGGAGGCTTGAATCGGTGGTGGCTCTGGGGCTTGAATCCAGACATTCCAGTGTAGGATGTGGCCGCCCTGACTGGGGGCTTAACAGCTGGGACAAATGCCCGCTCTTTGTTTGGATTCGTTTGTGAGCCTTTGGAGACGAAGGCCCGTCTTTCCATAGTTCTTTTGTGGTTGAGAAGATCCGGCGCCGGCGCATACGGGGCACACTTCAAGCATTTTTATGACTCTGCTTGCTTCCTGCAGAATTTATCAAGTCTGAATGGATTCAAATTCAGTGTCTTGGCCCTGGGGCTCCTTGGTGAGGATGTTATGAACTTAGGCCCTGTGCCTGTCCATAGCACTGGCTTGGGAGTATGTGCTCTCTCTGTCCATGCCCTAGGCATTGGCCTTGGCCTTGGTGGTTGGGCACTTCCAGGTCCTTGTGGATGGGCAAGGCAGTACTCTCCTAGGTCCCAGCTGTGGCCTGTGCTGGCAGTCTACATTTTTTAAAAATGTATTTTATTCAGATAACAGTTTCAATATGCATGGTCCAAAACCATTCAAATAATAAGTCAGATGTTGAAGACTGGTCTTTAAACATTATAGCCAAGGATGCCATGCTTGCTATGATCTCACTGATATAAAACCACATCCACACCTTAGTGGCCACCAAGCCATTCAGCGTAGCTTCCTAACTGAGCTGTTTGAAGCTACCATTCTGAGCACTGTGGACTATTTTTCTTTCAGGCTTTGAATCGCTGTAGGGATCTCAGCACGGGTTGGAGGAACCAGCTCAGCCTTGGCATAGTGCTAAAATGTGGCCATTCAAGGCTTCGAGGAAGTCACACAGCGCTCACTGGCACCGGGACCTTCTCCGAGAGGTTACGGACAAACTGGGCCATGGTGGTAGCCTGCCAGCCTACCCTTCTGACCCAGCGCTGGTGTAGCCCTGTGCTGGGGCTGCTGGGAGCCTGGTTTCTGCCCAACTTTGCCCCCATCCATTGTGTGTTCCTTCTTCTGTTCCTGGCTCCTGACCATTTCCTTCTTTTTTTTTAAATCTGTTTATTCATTTTTGAATCTTTGTTTGAATGGCAGAATGACAGTGAGCGAGACAGAGAGAACAGAGAGACGGGGGCAGAGGGAGAAGGAAAAGCAGGTTCCCGGAATGCTCACAGGTAGCCAGGGCTGGGTCAGTACGAAGCTGCAAGCCAGAAACTCGCTCCGGTTTCCCCATGAGCGGCTGGAACTCAGAAATCTGAACATCATCTGCTACTTCCGGCCATCAACAGGAAGCTTGTTTGGAAGTAGAGGTAATGGGACTTGAACCAGCACCTGGTTAGGGGACATGAGCAGCTCTGAGTATAACTATACTATACCAAAAGACCCACCCTGCTTCTTAACAAGCCTTTTTCCCTTATTTTATTTGTTTCTTGTTAACAAATCTTTTCTATGATTTTTTCCAGAATTTGCTTAAAGTGGCAAGGATTTTCTGTCTTCTCAGCATATGATGATAGAGGTTTCTCTGTCTACATTATTCAGTCTCAGTAAGCCTCAATTTCCTCTTCAGCAGAAGCACTGGGGAAAGCACCTACGAGGCATGAGGCACAGTTTTTGAACCAACTGGAGCAAAGTGAAATTTATTTCTAAAATCACCATCTCTATTATTACTTTTTGTTACAGTTAATAATCATTACCGTTCCAGCTTTCCTACAGTAGCCAAATATCTCTGTGCATATGGGCATGATTATAATTTCAGAGTTGCTTCACATTTGAAGTGATTCTTTAAAAATGGCACACACTCGTCGGGACATCCTCCGCAGGGAAAGCGTGGGTGGGGTGCAGCAGATTGTTGCAGCTCTGGGCGGTTTGCATCTGAGGCCAGAGCCCCACAGATGGGTAGCCCAGCACCCAGAGTGTTTTTGTTTGGTTGGCACAATATTTTTAAAAACTGAGAGTTTATTGTTAACACTTAAAGGTGGTGACATTTCATGAACAGTGCAGATCCCTGACTTCCGTTGAATGAACCAAGTATCTGCCCATAGCAGGCCTTCTTCCTGCGTGAGGCCATCAGCTGTGCTCGGTGGTGCTGCCTGGAGTTTCCTCCCTGGATGACACTGAGGACCGCTATGCTAGTCACCTTTTTGGTACTACACCTAAAGTCCCGAAACAACTAACTTCATAAAAGAACAGTATTTATTGGAGCCAGCATGATGGCATAGTTGGCTAAGCCTCTGCCTGCAGCACTAACATCCCATATGGTTGCTGGTTTGAGTCCTGGCTGCTCCACTTCCAATCCAGCTCCCTGTTTATTGCCTGGAAAAGCAGCAGAGGATGGCTCAAGTTTTGGGATGCCTATACCCACATGGGAGACCCAGAGGAAGCTGTGGCTCTGCTTTGAAAAGATCCAGCTCTGGCCATTGCACCATTGCAGCTATTTGGGGAGTGAATCAGTGGATAAAAGATCTGTGTCTCTTCTCTGTGTAGTCCTGCTTTTCAAATATATCCAGCTCAGTTTTGGAGGATTAAGCCCATGATTAGGGGGCCCCCATTGGTGTGGCAGCTGGTGGGGGTGGTAGAACTTGCAAAGGCATGACCATGTGACGAGTGAGGGGGAGAGAGGCTGGTACCAAATTCAGGCTTTCGTAACAACCCTGCGCCTACATCAGTGCCCCAAGGACCTCCCTTAGGCCCTGCTTCCGTGACTTTCCAGTCATGTTCTGTGGTGAACATTCAACATCTGAATTAATATCAAGCCACAGGAGCCACTTAACGGTTATGTTCAGTCCTTGACTGTGCTGTTTCAGCTGTGGAGTAGTAAGTACTGTGTCCACTCATATCTCTCTCCAGAATGGGAAACAAAAGATGCATCCCAAGCACAATGACAGCGGGACAGTGTGTGTCCACTCACTTACATGCCCACGCCTACCTGAGTAGACCTTTCGCTATGCCATCCCCTTGTGCGCACCGCGGCTGTGTCTCTCCTTTTGTGTGACCCTCCTGAGTCAGTCCCTGTGGCCAACTAGGGAGACTTGCTGGACCAACAGGAATGTGTTTACTCAGGCCGGTTTCCTGCACTCCCCCACTCCCACACCTGCCAGAAAAGCAAAGTCAGTAAAATCAGTCTCTAGCAAATTGCTTTTAAAATGAGAAGTGAAAGCTTTCATTTAACTGTTAGGAAATTAAAGTTTTAAAAGATTAGGGGGCTGTTGCAATGGCTTAATTGGCTGATCTTCCACCTTCAAGTGCTGGCACCCCATATGGCATCGCTTTGTGTTCCAGCTGTTCCACTTCTGGTGCAGCTCCACTGCTTATGTTTGGGAAAGCAGTGGAGGATGGCCCAAAGCTTTGGTGACCTGTGTGAGAGCCTGGGACGAGGCTCCTGGCTTTAGATTGGCTCAGTTTTGGGGGAGTGAACCAGCAGATAGAAGATTCTTCTGTCTCTACTTTCTGTCCTTCCCATAGAAATAAAAACATCAGACCTGGAACATAGCCTAGTGACTTACGTCCTTGCTTTGAACGTGCCAGGATCCCATATGGGCACCAGTTCTCATCCCGGCGGCCCTGCTTCCCATCTAGCTCCCTGCTTCTGGCCTGGGAAAGCAGTCGAGGACGGCCCAAAGCTTTGGGATTCTGCACCCGCATGGGAGACCTGGAGGAAGTTCCTAGCTCCTGGCTTCAAATCGGCACAGCTCTGGCAGTTATGGTCACTTGGGGAGTGAATCATCGGACAGATCTTCCTCTCTGTCCTCCTCTCTGTATATGTGACTTTGCAATAAAAATAATTTATTTTAAGTATATAAGTAAAATACAAACATTTTGAAGAAGGTCCCTGTACTAAAAAATTCACTCACTAATAAATTGGCATTTGATGGCCCGGCGCGGTGGCGCAGTGCTTAAGGTCCTCGCCTTGCACGCCCGGGATCCCATATGGGCGCCGGTTCTAATCCCGGCAGCCCCGCTTCCCTTCCAGCTCCCTGCCTGTGGCCTGGGAAGGCAGTCGAGGACGGCCCAAAGCTTTGGGAACCTGCACCCGCGTGGGAGACCCAGAAGAGGCTCCTGGCTTCAGATCGGCATAGTATCGGCTGTTGCGCTCACTTGGGGAGTGAATCATCGGACGGAAGATCTTCCTCTCTGTCTCTCCTCTCTGTATATCCGCCTTTCCAATAAAAAAAAAATAATAACAAAAATAAATCTTTAATAAAAAAAAAGATTAGAACATTGTTTCACTTAGTGTGCAGTAGTGATTTTGCTTTAGGGTCACAGGGATTATAATTGAAACACTTAGGAGAAAGCCTGTTTATGTATAAGTTTATATTCTGCATATAAATCATAAACATGTTTGTTTCTGTTTTGCAGATTGCGGAACTAGTGATGTGTTTTCCTGAACAGTAGAACCCAGGATGTCGAGGCCCAACTTCGTGGCTTTGAGTGTGACCACCCTTCTGGGTGTGGCTGTGGGAGGATTTGTCCTGTGGAGAGGCATACAGCAGCGGTGGAGAAGGACAAGCCCCGTGACCCAGCAGCAGCAGCAGCAGCAGGTGCAGGAGGAGGAGCAGCCGCAGCAGCAGCAGCAGCAAGTGCGGGGCAGTGGGGAACCGCCCACTCCCACAGAGGACCAGCCGCACTCCCTCCCGCCCGGAACCTCCTGGGAGGACAGGATCCTCCAAGGGAAGGTGGTGATCGTGTCTCAGGGGGCGGAGTGGGAGCAGATCGAGCCCTTGCTTAGAAGCGACTTGGAAGATTTTCCAGTTCTTGGAATTGACTGCGAGTGGGTAAGTCGAAAATGGAAAGCAAAAAAAGAAATCTCTTCCTGACTTGGGCCTTGGAAGGTCAGGTAGCGGATAAGGTGCAAGGAGAGTTGGCTTGTTCTCACCATGCTCACGGGAGGTCCTGGCCAGCGGCTGCTGTCCTCGGGTTATGAGATTGCTTATGAACACGGACAAACTGCTTAGCCTGGCTGTTGATGGTAGAGATAAAATGGTACTTAGCTGCCAATGGCTTTTCTCAGGATGCAAATAGATCACACCTATAAAGTCTTCAGCACAGGTAATATGTGTTCTTGAAACATTAGCTACCATTCGTATTTTCAGTAGCATTTTCATAAGAAAGTGGAGAAGACAGGTTTGTTGAAATAAGAATGAGGACCTAAGTAAGGATTGAGAAAGATAACAGCTAACGTTAGAAATGCAGGATGCTGTTTCACCGGTATCACTTCATTTATTTTCATAGTTATTTCATAGACAAGAAGAGACTGTTGTTGTCCTCACTTCCCACAGGAAGTAGTCACAGATCAGTAGGAGTCACACATTGTGTGACCGTGTGACAGTGTAGGGAGAGGAGTCACAAAAGCCCTGAGCCCTCGCCCACTGAGGGTGCCCAGCATCAGCCAGTGCTAAAGCTGCTTCTGACCTTGGGCCAGTGGGAGGATCGGGGGCTGTAACGTCCTACACACAGTTATGTCAGTGTAGAAAAATGCGTATCTCTTCATATAATTTTCGAAATTTATCTGTAACAACAGTTTTTAAAAATCTTTGGTAGATCAGGAAAATTTATATTTTCAAATCGCCGTCATTATTTCAAACTAAACAGTATAGACAGGGTAGTCTGAAATGAATAATTGTTAACAGAGATAAGCTTAATAATAACATACCTTGGGCCCAGCACAGTAGCCCAGCAGCTAAAGTCCTTGCCTTACAAGCCCCAGGATTCCATATGGTTACCGGTTCTAATCCCAGCAGCTCCACTTCCCATCCAGCTCCCTGCTTGTGGCCTGGGAAAGCAGTTGAGGACGGCCCAAAGCCTTGGGACCCTGTACCCGTGTGGGAGATCCGAAAAGAGCTCCTGGCTCCTGCCTTCGAAATGGCTCAGCTCTGGCCAAGTTGCGGTCACCTGGGGAGTGAATCAGTGGATGGAAGATCTTCCTCTCTGTCTCTCCTCCTCTCTGTATATCTGACTTTCCAATAAAAATTTAAGAAATACTAATATAACTTAATTATGTAGTAAAGTGGCAAATAATACAAAATTCACTTTATTTGGACCTTTGAAATGTTTGCTTATGAGTGGATGCCATATCTCACTGAATTTTCCTAATTGCTGTGACAGAAACCATGAGAAAGTCACCCATCCTTGCTCTGTCTCTTCTTCTATTACTGTTTCTCTTTCTCCTTCATTCATTTTTGTGTAACTGCCATTAGTTATTTTTTTTTCTTTTTTTAAAAAGATTTATTTATTACAAAGTCAGATATACAGAGAGGAGGAGAGACAGAGAGAAAATTTTCTGTCTGATGATTCACTCCCCAAGTGACTACAATGGCAGGTGCTGCTCCATTCTGAAGCCAGGAGCCAGGAACTTCCTCCAAGTCTCCCATACGGGTGCAGGGTCCCAAGACCTTGGGCCATCTTCGACTGCTTTCCCAGGCCAGAAGCAGGGAGCTGGATGGGAAGTGGAGCTGCCGGGATTAGAACTGGCGCCCATATGCGATCCCAGTGTGTGTTCAAGGTGAGAACTTTTGCCGTTAGGCCGCACTGCTGTGCTCTTCTATGTTTTCTTGAGTGTTTTAAAGATTTATTTTATCTGAAATCCAAGTTACAAAGAGAGATGGTAAGGGAGAACAGGATGAAGAAGGGAGGAAGAGAGAGAGAGATTATCCATCCATTGCTTTACATCCCAAATGGCTGCAATGTCTGAGGCTGAGCCAGGCTGAAGCCAGAGCCAGGAACTTCATGCGTCTCCATGTGGGTGCAGGGGCTTCTGCTGCTTTCTCAGGCGTATGAGTGGGGGGCTGATTAGAAGTGGAGCAGCGGGCTTCTCTGTTTCCTTTATCGATTTCCCTTCTGACTGATATGTAACATAAAAGTGACTTAGAAAAGATCAAAAAAAAAAAGTTACTTAGATGTGGAGTCTTCTGTAGCCATCTCAGGAACTGCAAATTACAGACAGGTCATATAAATGAATAGTATGGCAGGAGTGTATTTTTGGATACATAATACTGTTCATTAATTCATTGAGAAATATATTCTATTTCTTTCTTTCTTTTTATTTTTAACACACAAAGTATCCAGGATTTTCCATTTAGCTTGTGTTGTGGATCTGAGGAATATTTCTTTGTATTAGAAGACGGTTGGCCTAAATGTTGAAAAGACAGTATGGTGAATCAGAGAATTCATGCCTTGTATAAATGAGTAAGCTGCCATATAGTTTAAGCCAAGTGTTACCAAACTACCAAGTTCTTTGAAGAGGAACTTGAAATATGGGTTTTTAAAAATGTGAACTCTACTAATTAAAAAAATTGTTGCACAAGTTTTTAAATATGACAACTTATCTGTGGGTCAACAGATGGGTCCGTGGGCCACTAATTTATGTCTTCTAATCTCCATTCTTTTCCTGTGATCTCATCTACTTTTATAGCTTTAAATATCATTGCCATGCTGACAACTCTCAAAATTAGAATGCCAGCCTTTTTTATCCACCTGCTTGCTTGCTGTCTCCCCTGGAATGTCTGACATTCATCCCAGACTTAGCATGTTCCTAAGAGAGATCTGGATTCTGCTGTGTTAACCCTAGTCTTTCCTATCCTCAGGAGATTAGTCTCTTCCCTGAGGGCTGCCAAGCCCACCAGTGATAGGATTAAAAGTCAGGCATAAACAGATTGTGATTGTTAACTTTATTGAATGCCAAGATATATGGAGAGTCCAAGAAGCATAGAGCTGTATGCTCCCCAGGGGATGTATGGGTTTCCAGATCTTCCTGAGTTAGCCTTGCTGATACAGCACTGAGGGGAAACACTCAGTACAAAATGAGGGTTCTGGGCCCAGCGCAATGGCCTAGCAGCTAAAGTCCTTGCCTTGAACTCGCCAGGATCCTGTATGGGCCCTGGTTCTAATCCTGACATCCCCACTTCCCATCCAGCTCCCTGCTTGTTTCCTGGGAAAGCAGTCGAGGGTGGCCCAAGGTTTTGGGACCCTGCACCCACGTGGGAGACTTGGAGGAAGTTCCTGGCTCCTGGCTTCAGAATGGAGCAGCACCTGCCATTGTAGTCACTTGGGGAGTGAATCATCAGACAGAAAATTTTCTCTCTGTCTCTCCTCCTCTCTGTATATCTGACTTTGCAATAAAAATAAATAAATCTGAAAAGGAAAGTGAAATGAAATAAAAAGGAGGGTTCTACCATGTTTCAGAAGGCAGGATTACTTTCTTCTGAGGAGATTGGGTGGAAATATCCAATACCTTTCTTGCCCCTTAAAGCTGCTGCCTGATCTTTTCTGGAGATTCTGACTACATATGTCCCTACAGGTGCAATAAAGATGGAGTGGCATAAAGGTGCTTTCCGCAGGAACATTCTGTGGGCTCAAGCTTCAGGCCTGCCTGAAATGCACTCTTTTTATTATTATTATTATTATTTTTATTGGAAAAGCGGATATAAAGAGAGGAGAGACAGAGAGGAAGATCTTCCATCCGATGATTCACTCCCCAAGTGAGCACAACAGCCGATGCTATGCCGGTCCGAAGCCAGGAGCCTCTTCCAGGTCTCCCACGCGGGTGCAGGGTCCCAAAGCTTTGGGCCGTCCTCGACTGCTTTCCCAGGCCACAGGCAGGGAGCTGGAAGGGAAGCGGGGCTACCGGGATTAGAACCGGCGCCCATATGGGATCCCGGGCGTGCAAGGCGAGGACCTTAAGCACTGCGCCACCGCGCCGGGCCCTGAAATGCACTCTTGGTCATGATTTTTTATTTATTTAGAAAAAGAAAGAATTACTATTTTTTTTTTAATTGGAAAGGTAGATCCATAAAGAGAAGGAGAGACAGAGAGAAAGATCTTCCATCTGCTGGTTCACTCCCCAAATGGCCACAATTCCTGGAGCTGAACTGATTTGGAGCCAGGAGCTTCCTTCGGTTTCCCACATGGGTGCAGGGTCCCAAGGCTTTGGGCCGTCCTCTACTGCTTTCCCAGGCCACAGGCAGGGAGCTGGATGGGAAGTGGAGCTGCCAGGATACGAACCAGTGGTCATATGGGATCCCAGGGCATACAAGATGAGGGCTTTAACTATTAGGCTATCATGCCAGATAATTACTTATATGCTCTCTGTTTTAAAGATTATTTTACTTTACTTTTTTGAAAGACAGAGATACAGAGAGAGAGGGAGAGACAAAGAAAAATCTTCCATCTATTGGTTCACTCATCTTAATAGCCACAGCGGCTGAGTCTGAGCCAGTTTGAAGCCAGGAGTCTGCACCTCTCCCTCTAGGTCTCACTGGCATGCAGGTGCCCAAGCACTTGGGCCCTCTCCTGTTCTCTCAGGTGCATTGGTGTGGAGCTGGATCAGAAGTGGAGCAGCCTGGACTTGAACTGGTGCTTATGTGGGATGTCTGTATCGTGGATAATTCAACCCATTGCCCTGCAATACCATTTCCTACTTAGATATTCTGGCCACTGTCAGCATCCATGATTTTGTCTCCTACTGTCTTCCCGACCTGTCCTTGTTGCTCTCTGTTCACATTGGGCCTTCACTCTGGCAGTTGTATTTTGGCAAGTTCATGCTTGCTTCAATGGTGTGGTCTGATGTTAACTGAATAACTTTCCAAACAATCTGCTCCAGCACAGAATGTGCTCCTACATCCTTCTTTACTCTCTGCTGCCATCGTGGGGTCATGGAGAGAATCATAGGTCTTCCCAGAAACCCACTGGACTTTTAAAGTACCAAAGCTAAAACGGATTACCCATTGGTCTGCAGGAAGGAGAGTCTCTAAGCAAAATGTTCCTTAAGTGAATCATGGAAACACAGGGAAGAGCGTTTGAAATTCTGTCTAGAATGGCTGATGGGACCATTCATTTAAAATTATACTTTCTTGAATACTTAATAATGTAGCATGTTAGTACAGTAATACACATGTGTAATTTATAAATAAACGTATACGCATAGTTATGTATTGCTTAATGAGGCTGCAAGCTGAGAAATGCCTGAGGCAGTCTGTCATTGTACAGATGTCGGAAAGTGTGTTTCTGTAAACTTAGATGATGTAGGTCAGTCACTGGCCATGACCTCTTATCAATCAATAGATGAGGTAAACATAAAACATTTGTACCTGTAGCTGGCAAAGTACCACACACTGTTTTAAAGCATTTTTTTTAAAAAAAGATTTAGTTATTTTTACTGCAAAGTCAGATATACAGAGAGGAGGAGAGACAGAGAGGAAGATCTTCAGTCTGATGATTCACTCCCCAAATGACTACAATGGCAGGTGCTGCTGCATTCTGAAGCCAGGAGCCAGGAACTTCCTCCAGGTTTCCCACGTGGGTGCACAGTCCCAAGGCTTTGGGCGAGGACTTCAGCCACTAGGCCACCACGCTGGTCCCTTAAAGCATTTTTCAAAAGTAGAATTACACTCTAAAATAATGATAGAAAGTATAGTAAGTAGGTAAATCAGTATTATAGTAATTTATTGTCATCACACGCTATACATAATTGTATTGCTATACTTTAAGGATATTTGAAAGATAATTATTTATTTCACAGTCAGAGTGTATTTCTACTTGATTTTCCAAATAGGTTCTGGAGGCGGTGATAAGGTAAGAAAGTCTGGTGGGTCCTTGGGGTCTGGGTAGTTGGAGAGCTGTGTTCTCAGTGGGCACACCTCTCCTCAGCTTTTTTTTTTTTTTTAAAGATTTATTTTTTTATTATTTTTTCATTGGAAAGGCGGATATACAGAGAGAGGAGAGAGAGAGAGAGGAAGATCTTCCGTCCGATGATTCACTCCCCAAGTGAGCGCAACGGGCCGATACTATGCCGATCCGAAGCCAGGAGCCTCTTCCGGGTCTCCCGCACGGGTGCAGGTTCCCAAAGCTTTGGGCCGTCCTCCACTGCTTTCCCAGGCCACAAGCAGGGAGCTGGAAGGGAAGCGGGGCTGCCGGGATTAGAACCGGCGCCCATATGGGATCCCGGGGTTGCAAGGCGAGGACTTAACCACTTGCGCCACCGCGCCGGGCCCAACCTCTCCTCAGCTTTTATGTCTGGTGTAAATGTGGAGTGTTGTATGACTGCCAGTGTGTCTCCGAGCTTCTCTGGGTCAGCTGGTCACTGTTTGTGGACTGCTCATGTTTCAGGCCCTGCAGTTTGCACCTTCTGGGACTTTGGCCCAGGATGCCCCTCACAAAGCCCATTGCATTAGTTAGGATGGGCTACTTGTTAGATTTTACCCCAAATCTGGCCTGATAACTCCCGTTGGAAGGCTGAAGCTTAGGTGTTCCTGCCATCATTGCAGGGCTTGCTTGCGACTACCCTAGGGCATGAACCCAGCTCTTCTTGTGTTGCAGGTGAACTGGGAAGGCAGAGCCAGTCCTCTGTCACTCCTGCAAATGGCCTCCCCAAGTGGCCTCTGTGTCTTGGTTCGCTTGCCCAAGCTGATGTATGGAGGAAGAATGCTACCAAGAACACTACTGGACATCTTGGCGGATGGCAGCATTTTAAAAGTTGGAGTGGGATGTTCGGAAGATGCCAGCAAGCTTCTGCAGGACTACGGCCTCGCAGTCAGGGGCTGCCTGGACCTGCGCTACCTGGCAGTGCAGCAGAGGTGGGGTGTCTGTGCGTACTGGACTCGGGTAACCTTGAGGGGCAGGCATCTCGGTGAGCGAGGTCTGCAGAGCCTGGAATCAGTCAGGGGTAGCACTTGAACGGCTTCACCAACGAGAGGCCTCCGAGATGCCCGCCGAATTCCTGAGACGTCACAGCTACTGAGAAAACTTCAGTTACCTACAAGCTGTCTTTTTAAGACTAATTGTTAACTGTAAAATACAGGTGATAAACAGATGACCCCACCAGCTAAATTAGGACTACCAATGTCCTTTGGTATATTTTTTTTCACATGTGGTTTAAAAATATTTTTTTAAAGTTCAGAGTATTTATTTAATGTAAAAAAAAAAAAGTGTATTCCTGGCTTCTCTTGAAAAATCAGATGATCTAATTATACCAGGTCCATAGCTGCAGCTGGCTGGGTAGTGGCTATTCCTTTTAGAGGAATATGCACTGTTCAGTTTGCCAGAGTCCCTGCCATGTGAGTGCAGAAGCCCAAGCACTTCAGGTAGGCATTATCTTCTGCCTACCTGTATTAGCAGGTGCATTAGCAGGAGCCTAGGTTGGAAGTGCAGAGTAGCCTGGCGTAGACAAAACACTCTAAGATGCGGTGATGGCATCCCAAGCTGTAGCTTAACTTTCTGAGCCACAAAACTTGCCCCTCATCTTTAAGATTGTTTTAAAAGGTTTCTTTAGTTTTATTTGAAAGGCAGATTTATACTGAAAAGTAGAGACAGAAGGAGAGAGACAAATTCTATGCACTAGTTCACTCCTCAAGTGGCCACAGTGGTGGGAGCTGAGGCGATCCAAAGCCGGGAGCTAGCAACCTCCTCCAGGAGCAGCCCTCCACAGTTGCAGGAGCCCAAGGACTTGAGCCATTCCCCCATTGCTTTCCCAGTCTACAAGCAGGGATTGGAAGTGGAGCAGCCATCACTAGAACCGGCACCCATTTGGGATGCTGGGCCCTGCAGCAAGAGGATTATCTTGTTGAAATGTCATGCCAGCCTGCCCGCCCTTGCTTGTTTGCTTGCTTGCTTCCTTCCTTCCTTCCTTCCTTTTCTTCCTTCTTTCCTTCCTCCTTCCCTTCCTTCATTTTTTCTTTTTTTTAAAGATTCATTTTATTTTTATTGGGAAGTCAGATATATAGAGAGAAGGAGAGACAGAGAGGAAGATCTTCCATCTGTTGATTCACTCCCCGAGTAGCCACAACCACCAGAGCAGCGCTGATCCAAAGTCAGGAACACGGAACTTCTTTCCAGGTCTCCTACATGGGTGCAGGGTCTTGAGGCTTTGGGCTGTCCTTGACTGCTTTCCCAGACCACAAGCAAGGAACTGGATGGGAGGCGGGGACATCAGGATTAGAACCGGTGCCCATATGGAATTCTGGCGCATTCAAGGTGAGGACTTTAGCCACTAGGCTTCCATGCTGGGCCCCCACCCTTTATTTTTGTAAGCCAGAAGGACAAGAGGTGTGAAAAATAATCATCTATCTTCTGGTTTATTTCTGAAATGACTATAGTAGCCAGGAACTTCATGCCACGTGGGTGGCAGAGCCTCAGCCACTTAAGCCATTATCTGCTGCATTTCAGGATACATTTGCAGGAAGCCAGATTGGAAGCAGGGAGTAGCTGGTACCCACACCTGAATATGGGATGATGGTATCCCAAGCAATAGCTTAATCCACCATGGCACAACACTTGCCCCCTCTGGTGTTTGGTGAACAGAAAAAACACATTGTTATTATAATGACTCTGTTGCATTTTTATCTCCTCAATAAAACTGGCCTTATCAATTTTTCAAATTTGAGACTATGCGAATATTCATATTAATAGTAGATTGGGTTGTTTGTAGTTCTTTCTTACTAAAATCATGGTACAGAACCTGGCATGGTGGCCTAGCAGCTAAAGTCCTCGCCTTGCACGCACTGGGATCCCATATGGGTGCCAGTTCTAATCCCAGTAGCTCCACTTCCCATCCAGCTCTCTGCTTGTATTCTGGGAAAGCAGTGGAGGATGGCACAAAGCCTTGGGACCCTGCACTCATGTGGAAGACCTGGAAGAGCTCCTGGCTCCTGGCTTCAGATCGGCATGGCACCAACCATTGCAGCCACTTGGGGAGTGAATCAACAGATGGAAGATCTTCCTCTCTATCTCTCCTCCTCTCTGTATATCTGACTTTCCAATAAAAATAAAACTAAATCTTAAAAAAAAAGCTACAGTAAGGATCCTATTATGTATACTGTGGTTAGAATAAGTTTCAAATTTTATCTTTTTTGAGAAGCACAGAGATAGAGTGAGCCTCCGTTGGCCTGCCTGCTCCCTCAATGACAGCAATAACTGGAACTGAAGCTGGGGTGAATCCAGCCCATGTCGCCCACGTCAGGTTCAGGAACCCAGTTGCTTTGACTGTTTAGCAGCTGCCTTCCAGGGGTCTGCCATGACAGAGAGCTGGGGTCAAGGGCCAGCACCAGCAGGTGAACCCCGGCAACTCCAGGGTGGGACAGCATCTTCCAATTTTTGTGTTATTATTAAACTCATCTCATAGGGATATCAAAATATACAAGAATTTTAGATGAGATTTTTTGCTTCTTCATGTTCTACTGATACCATTTATAGTTAATTTTTAAAAATTTTTCAATTTGATGGAAAAATTGTCTTTTTTTGAATGATTTAGTGAGAATATCGGTTATCTAGATGTTTTTTGCCATTTATTTGTATTTTCTTGATTTTCCTGTTCATATCCGTTACCAACTTTTGATACATACTTTTATTTATTTTTTCTAGAAGCAATTTGCTCTGTAACGGGCTTAGCCTGAAATCACTCGCCGAGACTGTTTTGAACTTTCCCCTTGACAAGTCCCTTCTACTTCGTTGCAGCAACTGGGATGCTGAGACTCTTACAGAGGAACAGGTACTCTTTCAAAAAATTTGTTGTTGTTTATTTCTTCAAGAGAGCAGTCTCCTCCACTGGTTCATTTGCCCAAAACTCACAACAGCCAGGACTGTGTCAGGCTGATGCCGGGAGCCTAGAACTCCCTGTGGGCGGCAGGACACCAACTACCTTAGTCATCTCTGTCATCCCCCAGGGTCTGCGTCGGCAGAGAGCCGGAGCTGGAGCTGGGTACTAGGCCCAGGTACTCCAGCATAGGCCGTGGACTGCTCAACTTGCACCTGCCCTGGAACAAGGTATCCTTATCAGAGTAGCTGGGAAAAGTAAGAATTGTTGCCACCAAAGGCATAATTGTTTTTAATATTCTAATCTCCAAATACTGTAAAAGTATTGGATAGACTAGTATACAATAATGCATATGCCACTTACATAAAAAAGTAAGAATTCCAAATGTACTTTCGAATGCTTACTGTATGCCAGGCGATTTAGAAAAGAGGTTTTTTTTTTTTTTTTTCTAATGAAAATAAACGTGTAGTTTAAACACACACACATATTTATTGGAAAGAGTGATAGCGAGAAAGGGAGAAAGAGAGAGAATGAGATCTTCTTTCTGCTGGCATACTTCCCAAGTGGTGCAGTGCCAAAGGGTAGGCCAGGTAGAAGATGGGAGCCAGGAAGTCCATTCATGTCTCCCACGTGGGATGCAGGAACCTAAGTGCTTAACCATCATCTGCTGCTTTCCCAGGTGCATCAGCAGCTGAGACACAAAGCAGTGCTTGGATATGGAATGCTGACAGTGTAGGTAATAGCTTGACCCTCTATGCCACAGTGCCAGCCCCTGTCACTGAGTTTTTTTTTATTTTTATTATTTGATTCTTTTTTTTTTTTTTTTTTTTTTTAAAGATTTATTTTTATTATTTTTTATTGGAAAGGCGGATATACAGAGAGGAGAGACAGAGAGGAAGATCTTCCGTCCGATGATTCACTCCCCAAGTGAGCCGCAACGGGCCGATACTATGCCGATCCGAAGCCAGGAGCCTCTTCCGGGTCTCCCACGCGGGCGCAGGGTCCCAAAGCTTTGGGCCGTCCTCGACTGCTTTCCCAGGCCACAGGCAGGGAGCTGGAAGGGAAGCGGGGCTGCCGGGATTAGAACCGGCGCCCATATGGGATCCCGGGCGTGCAAGGCGAGGACTTAACCACTTGCGCCACCGCGCCGGGCCCAGTCACTGAGTTTTAAGAGTTATTTATATAGGGTTTGGTGTAGTAGCCTAGTGCCTGGAGTCCTTACCTTGCGTGCCCTGGCATCCCATATGGGCACCAATTCGTGTCCCGGCTGCTGGACCTCCCTTCCAGCTCCCTGCTCATAACCTGGGAAAGCAGTTGAGCACAGCCCAAAGCCTTGGGACCCTGCACCCGTGTGGGAGATCCAGAAGATGCTCCTGGCTCCTGGCTTCAGATTAGTCCAGCTCTGGCCATTATAGCCACTTGTGTAGTGAACCAGCAGATAGAAGATCTTTCTCACTATCCTCTCTGTAAATATGACTTTCTCCAAGAAAAAGAGTTGTTTATATATTCTGGATACTAATCCCTTACCCAGATATGCTAATGCTATTTAAAAATATTTTCTGGGCCCTGTGCCGTAGCCTGCAGTTAAAGTCCTAGCCTTGAACACACCGGGATCCCATATGGGTGACAGTTGTAATCCCAGCAGCCCTGCTTCCCATCCAGCTCCCTGCTTGTGGCCTGGGAAAGCAGTTGAGAATGGCTCAAATCCTAGGCACTCTGCACCCATGTAGGAGACCCAGAAGAGCTCCTGGCTCCTGACTTCGGATCGGTGCAACACTGGCTGTTGCGGCCACTTGGGGAAGTGAATCATCAGACGGAAGATCTTCCTCTCTGTGTCTCCTCCTCTCTCTATATATCTGACTTTGCAATGCCTTGAATGTGCCGGGATCCCATACGGAGTTTTTTTAAAAGAGTTATAAAAAAATAAAAATGTTTTCTCCCATTGTTCAGGTTATATTTGCATCTTGATGAGATCAAACATAAATGTTGTAATTCTGATGAGCTCTAATTGTCTGACTTTTTCTTTTGTTGCTTATGCATTTTGTATATATCCAATGAAGTATTGCCTAATGCAAAGTTGTGAAAATTTACTACATACATTTTCCTGTAACTTTTGCACTTAGGTTAGTGATGTATTCTTAGTTGATTTTTATGTGTCATTAGAGATAAGATTCCAAGGCCCAGTGTAATGGCTCGGTGACTGTATCATCTCCTTGCATATGCCAGGATCCCATATGGTCACCAGTTCTCATCCCGGCAGCCCCACTTCCCACCCAGCTCCCTGCTTGTGGCCTGGGAAAGCATTCGAGGACGACCCAGAGCCCTGGGACTCTGCACGCCTGTGGGAGACCTGGAAGAAGCTCCTGCCTTCGGATCTCCTCAGCTCTGGTCTTTGCAGATATTTGGGGAGTGAAACAGTGGATGAAAGATCTTTGTCTATCTTTCCTCCTCTCTATAAATCTGTCTTTCCAATAAAAATAAAATTAAATCTTAGAGAGAGGGAGACTAGATTCTAAATTCATTCTTTCACATGTGGGTGTCTACTTGTCTCCCAGCACCATTTGTTGCTGCATATTTGGAAGCAGTGTGTTAAAAAGCATTCTTTCCACATTCAAGCACACTCTTTTCTTTGGGAGAAAAATCTCCTGATGGATTTTTAGATTATTAGCTCTAGGTGGAAAATTTTGTCTGAACTTGTTTTATTCTAAAGCCAGGTAATAATAGAATTATTTACCTGGCTTGGTTATGAAAGGACTTTTGGAGTCTTATACCCTTTGTCAGGAAAAGCTAATAACTTTCATCTTGACTAGGGTTTTTTTTATGATTCATTTATCTTTTTTGGGGAAGGAAGATTTACAGAGAGAAGGATTTCTGTCTGTTTATTCATTCCCTAAGTGGTTGCAATGGCCTGACCTAAGCCAATCTGAAGCCAGGAGCCAGGAACCTCTTCTGGGTATCCCACACGGGTACAGGATCCCAAGACTTTGGGTTGTCCTCGATTGCTTTCCCAGGCCACAAGCAGGGAGCTGGAAGGGAAGTGGAGCAGCCGAGACAGAAGCGAGTGCACATGTGGGATCCTAGCACGTGTAAGGTGAGGATTTAGCCACTAGGATACCACACTGGACCCTTGACTAGTTTTGTGTATGACTGGGTTGCCTTTCACTAGTCCCTTGGAAGAAGGGTTCCTTTTTTTTTTTTTTTTAAGACTTACGTATTTGTTTAAAAGATAGAGTTGCAGAGACAGAAGGAAAAAAAAGCCAGAATAAAAAGAAAAATATTCGTGCTGGCTCATTCTCCCTGAAAAGCTGCAAGAGCTAAGCCTGATTCAGGCCGAGACCAGGAGCCAGGAGTTTCATGCAGGTCTCTCGTGCATCCTCTGCTGCCTTTCCAGGCACAGTAGCAGGGGGCTAGATCAGAAACAGAGTAGCTGGGACTTGAACCAGCGCCCACATGAAATGCCAATACTGCAGACTGTAACTTAATTGGCTGTGCCACAGTGCCAACCCTCATTTTAAAAAAATGAGCAAGTGAGAATTTTTATCCTGTGCAATTTACTTTGATACATTCTGAGGTCTTTTGTGATACTTTTTTTAATGGTAGGTTATTGAGCATTTTGAATTGGGATTCTCAAGTGTGCGTCTTCCTGACTGTGTCTGGAGCTGGTCTCTGCTGTGCCTTCCGGGTGCCACTGATGTCCGACTTTTCTCTCCAGGTGACGTATGCCGCCAGGGACGCCCAGGTGTCGGTGGCTCTCTTTCTGCATCTCCTCGGATGCTCTGTGTCGAGGAGTTCTACTGCAGAAGAGAGCCATGACCACACTGGCTGGAGGGAAGTCCTGGAGAAATGCCGGCACATGGTAGACGTCCCGTTCCGCAGCAAAGCGTTCAGCAGGTTGGGAGAAGAGGTTAACAGGGAAGCCACAGAGTCGCCGCAGAAGCCAAGAAATAAGAAGGCTAAGAACGATGGGGCAGTGCCTGGCAGCCAGCAAGGGAGAGACCCCAGAAGACATAAGCGAAAGCCCCTGGGCGTGGGCTATTCAGCCAGGTAACTGGTTCTTCTCTTGCCTCCAGCAGGGCTGTGATGCGATGTGGGGGTTTGGGGTGAAGGCCTGTCAGGAAGCTGTCCAGGGTGTGTTTTCTTGTCCTTTTTATTCAAGGACATTTGGGCCATCCTTTGCTTTATTTTGTGTGTTTTCTCTTTTTCCCCTTTTTTTAAATTATTATTTATTTTTTCAAATATTTAATTTTTAAAATTTATTTGAAAGGTAGAGTTATGGGGCCAGTGGAGTGGGGGCATGGAGAGAGAGAGATCTTCCATCTGCTGATTCACGCCCCAAATGTCCACAACAACCAGAGCTGGGCCAGGCTGAAGCCAGGAACCAGGGTCTCCCACATGGGTACAGGGGCCCAAGTACTTGTGTCATCCTCTGCTGCTTTCCCAGGCACATGAGCAGGGAGCTGGATGGGAAGTGGAGCAGCCAGATTTCACACAGGTGCCCGTATGGGATGCTGTTATCTCAGGCGTCAGTTTTACTTTCTATGCTACAACATCTGTCTCCCCTTATTATTTTTTTTTTCTTTTACTCTTTGCACAATTGGAATGGAAATGAGGACCACTTAGCCTGACTTTGTCACTGAGCCTGATGTGACTTGGACCTCCCTGAAAATGGGGAGATATCTAGTCTCCTTTGTTTGCTTCAGTTGACTATGAAAGGGACTCCTGGAGGAGCTGGGTACCTGCAGGAGCAGTACATCCCCTCCTTTCTCGCTTGCTTGGTATTGGATAATTTCGAATGAGACGCAGCTGTAAATCAGCATCGTTCTCTAACCAGCACGACTTTTCCAGTACAACCTTTACTTTCGTTGTTGGGAGATGACTCCGTTTACTTTGGAATAGAAGTTTGGTCCCTGTAGGAAAATGCCTTTAGGAAATGGGTGATTGAAAAGTGGAGAAAATTTGGGTCCAGGCACGATAGTCTAGTAAGCTAAATTCTCACCTTGTGTGTGCCAGGATCCCATATAGACTGCTGGTTTGTGGCCTGGGAAGGCAACAGAGGACGGCCCAAAGCCTTGAAATCCTACACCTACATGGGAGACTTGGAAGAAGCTCCTGGCTTCAGATTGGCTCAGCTCCGGCCATTGTGGCCACTTGGGGAGTGAATGGATGGAAGATCTTATTCATGGTCTCTTCTCTCTGTAAATCTGCCTTTTCAATTAAAAATAAATAAAGTGGAGAAAATTTTACATGAGAGCTAGAAATAAATTCATGTGGCCCTCACTAGTTTAGCTTGAGCTTTAAAGTTCTGTTGTGTGAATTGCTTCTCGGCCTTTTGGCCAAGATCAAGTGTAAAGTTCCGTTGTGTGGTTACTTGGTGCCCTCTTGTAGCATCGGTGTGTGTGTGTCAGGGCAGAGCTGTGTAAGCGCCGCCTGGTTCACCGCCTAATGTCTTCATCAACGAGCATGAGAACTAGAGGCAACAATGAATTTATTGTTAGTTTCTGCCTCCTCACCCAGTGTAGATGGAGAGCTAACTGGTTTCTTGCCCTGCTTGTTTTTTCCGTAATCTGTGTGGGTGACCCTGGTGTGAAGATCGGTTTGAGAATGGGAAGACCACGGAGGCCTTGACAAGCAGGTGGCTCTCTCTGAGGTTTCTCTCTCCCTCCCGACAGGAAATCACCTCTTTATGATAACTGCTTCCTTCACGCTCCTGACGGACAGCCTCTCTGCACCTGTGACCGAAGAAAAGCCCAGTGGTACCTGCACAAAGGCATTGGAGGTGCGACATGCTGCTGGCTTGGCGTCTCTGGGCTGAGGGCGCGTGGGCACCAGTAGGAGTGGGCTGCAAGGTCAGGGGGTGGGTGGATGGAAGATGACAGGTCTGGAGACACGCGGCCGTTCTGTTGGGACCCAGCAGGGCACAGCTGTATCATCTCCCTGGATGTGGGGGGATACCTGTGGGTGGATGGGGTGGGACAGTTGGCTCTGACCTCCTCCTTCCTTCCCAGAACTGGTGAGCGAAGAGCCCTTTGTGGTGAAGCTCCGCTTTGAGCCCGCGGGCAGGCCTGAATCCCCGGGAGACTACTACCTGATGGTCAAAGAGAACCTGTGCGTGGTGTGCGGCAAGCGGGACTCCTACATCCGGTGAGCGGGGTTGTGAGCTGCCCTGACCGGCTGCCTCACGCAGACATTGGGGTGTAGCCAGAACTTGCCCGCTTGGCTGAGAAGCTCGTCCCCCATGCGCTAACCAGGTTTCCCGATGGCTGGCCCCGTCCTCCCAGAGCCACGTCTTGGTTCCTGGAATACAAGGCCCTATGACAGCTTCCTGGTCCCCTGCAGGTAGAGAGCACAGCTCTCTCTCGCTCAGGAAGGACCAAGCACCACATCCTTTAGGAGCTGGGTCCTTGTCTTCTCCCTGAGTGGCTGGCGAACTTTCTGAGGCTTGGTGTTGTTCCCGGAGACTGCTCTGGGCTGTGCTGCTTTTCATGTCAAGGTCCATGCACAATGGGGAGTGGCCTAGGGGCTCGGATGTTTGTGCCTTCTCCTTGGCTGCTGTGTGAGACTCCGTTGGCTGCTCCTTCCCCTGCACCCTTGCTGCTGCCTGGTCTGCCCTGAGTACTTTGTTCCCCTCAGAACAACAAACACTGCGGTGGGCCTTGGGGAACCCAGGAAGTCGTGTTCGCATGAGGGATTTCCTGCATGAGGGGTGCTGCCCCTCTCAGGCCACCAGGCTTCGCAGAGTTGCTTTCTGGCGGTCGGGGACCATTCGGATATCCTTACATTTCTCTAAGTAACTTTTCCTTCTAGAGCATGACAGCCTCATAGCAAATACTTTTTGCTATGAGACTGACTAGGAGGTTCGAGAGATCTGAGAAACAGGGGAGGCAGGCAGCTGGGACCCTGAGACTCATGCAGGGCCAAGAGTGGAATTGGCTTTAAGGAGTGTCTTTTGGTTGTGGCCCTCAAGGCCCAGATTGGGATCCCAGCAGCTCCCTGCCCGTGTGGCCTGTGCTTGGAGTCCCGTGCTGATGAGCTCTGCTCTCCCTGTTCTAGGAAGAACGTGATTCCCCACGAGTACCGCAAGCACTTCCCCATTGAGATGAAGGACCACAACTCGCATGACGTGCTGCTGCTCTGCACCTCCTGCCACGCCATCTCCAACTACTACGACAACCACCTGAAGCAGCAGCTGGCCAAGGAGTTCCAGGCCCCCATCGGCTCCGAGGAGGGCTTGCGCCTGCTGGAGGACCCCGAGCGCCGGCAGGTGCGTTCTGGGGCCAGGGCCCTGCTCAACGCCGAAAGCCTGCCTGCACATCGCAAGGAGGAGCTGCTGCAAGCACTGAGAGAGTTTTACAACACGGACACCGTCACGGAGGAGATGCTGCAGGAGGCCGCCAACCTGGAGACCAGGTACAGCTGACTAGGCCAGGGACATCACCCTCACCCCTTTGGGAGAGGGCTTGCAAGGGAGGGGGCCTGGGCCTCGTGCTCAGCGCAGTATGCATCTAGGGCTTTAAGATGCCTCGGGAATGGGTTAGGACAATCTCGTTGAGATTTGTCTTTCCACAGTAGACTGGCTGTTCCTAGGGTGTCTTTCCTTGACTCTTTGATGCCACATACTTTAGTCCAGGCCTCTTCATGAGTAGTGGGAGAGTTTACACGCAAGAGTTGGGTCTTACACAAGAAGTCAGCACATGAGACAAAAATAACACTCCAGGGCTGCCTGGGCATTGGAAGCTTCACGCCAAGTGCTGTTTTGGTGAGCTCACATCCCTGGCCTCCCCCAGGAGTGTGAGAACTGTAGGGTCACGTCTCCTGTCTCAGCTGCGCTCCAGGGACTGGCCTACTGCATGGAATGCTGGGCAGACCTGCTGTTCTAGCTCCATGAATTTTCTCTTCTTCCCTCCTCCCTTGCTTTCTCCCTGCTTCCCTATGTGTACAGTTAAATTCATATGACTTAGCTCAGAGCCCCTAGCTCAGATGTTTCTGATCCTAAAAATGAAAGGCTGCATGACTCAGGTGATGAGTCCCGGGGCTGGGAGGTACAGTTTTGTTTCCAGACTCTCCCTTTTTTCAGCAGTTTTGGCGGATGAGGTCTTTGAGCCAGTAAGTTCACAAAATCCTGATAGCAGCTGCTCATAGTGTTTGTTATCCACAAACACACACAAAGTAGGTGCTGGGGTTGTCACATAGTGAGTAAAGCTGCCACCTATGAGGCTAGCATCTCATATAGGCACCAGTTTGCATCTTGGCTGCTGTGCCAAGCTCCCTGCTAGTGACCCGGGAAGGCAAGAGAGGATGGTTCAGGTCCCTGGGCCTCTGCCATCCATATGGGAAATCTTGAGAATGCTGCCGGCCCGTGGCTTTGGCATAGCCCAACCACCTGGGGGGTGATACAGTGGATGAAAGATTCTCTTTTTTTCTGCGACCCAGCCTTGTAAAAAAAAAAAAGCAAATGAATCTATAAAGAACAACAAAAAAAAGTAAGGGGTGGGTGGACATTTGGCAGTTACCATGCCTTAGGATGCCCGGGGTGCCTGGCTCAAGCCCTGATTTCTCGGCTTCCTACTAATGTGAGACGTGGGGGGCTGCAGGTGCTTGGGGAGCAAAGCAGAAAATGGAAACTGTCTTACTGTCTGCCTTTCAAATAAAAAGGTAGTACAATAATAAATAAATAAAAATTGAGAAGGACTTCACTAATAAGAAGAAAACAGCCAATTAAAATTAATTATAGTCACAAATATTTATCTATTTTCAGAGACAAGAATTTTACCCAGGCTGCTGATCCATCACAGATCCTGCATATGCCTATTCAACAGGCATTTATACACTGTATCTAAGCTAACAAACCTTCAATAAATTGCTGTCATTATTTATTTAATTTTTAAAAAAAGATTTGTTTTATTTTGATTGGAAAGTTCGATATACAGAGAGGAGAGACAGAGAGAAAGATCTTCTGTCTGTTAATTCACTCCCCAAGCGGCCACAACAGCTGGAACTGAGCTTATCCGAAGCCAGGAGCCCAGAGCCTTTTCCGGATCTCCCCCGTGGGTACAGGGTCCCAAGGCCATCCCTATCTGCTTTCCCAGGCCGCAAACAGGGAGCTGGATGGGAAGCGGGGTTGCTGGGATTAGAACTAGTGCCCATATGGAATCCTGGAACATACAAGGTGGGGATTTTAGAACTAGGCTACCACACTGGGCCCTGTAATTATTTGTTTTTAAAAATTACTTATTTTTTCAAAGTCTGAGTTACAGAGAGAGCAGGAGAGACAGAGAGAGAGACGGAGAGATTTTCTATCTGCTGGTTTCATCCCCAGATTCCATGACAGCCCGGTCTTAGCCAGGCCAAAGCCAGGAACCAGGAGCTTCACACCTGTTTACTACATGGGTGGCAGAGGCCCAAGTACTTGGGCCATCTTTGTTTTTTCCAGGCCGTCGGCTGGGAGCAGGATAGAATATGGAGCGTCTAGGTCTCAACCCAACACCCATAGGGATGCTGGCATCACAGGCAGAGACTTCACCCACTATGCCGCAATGTTGGCCCCACCATAATTTTTCTTACTGCAACCTGCTAAAATAAGGTTTAGATATTACTGGTAACTGCTAATAATATAGCTTGCATTTAAAAAAAAATATTTCCAAGTTATGATAATTTTTAAAGGCTTTTAAAAATAATTTTGTTATATGAAAAACTTTATTATTGAATTTTATCCCCGTTTTGTGAGTTGTAAAATGCATGTTGTTTTATAAGTTTTATATGTGATTGTTTGAGGTTATATTGATGTTATATGACACATTAATGAGCTTGATTAATTCCCAAATGTATTTCCTGAACCCTCCCCCACCCATCTCCCTGCAGCCACAGGCCGTGCTGAACTGGGTGTGTGGATGTTAGGCTTCAGGCTGAGAATAGCCAGCCCCTTGAAGAAGACTGGATTTTAAAATATTTAGGAGGGGGCCTGGCGCGGTGGCGCAAGTGGTTAAAGGTCCTCGCCTTGCACGCCCGGGATCCCATATGGGCGCCAGTTCTAATCCCGGCAGCCCCGCTTCCCTTCCAGCTCCCTGCCTGTGGCCTGGGAAAGCAGTCGAGGACGGCCCAAAGCTTTGGGAACCTGCACCCGCGTGGGAGACCCGGAAGAGGCTCCTGGCTTCGGATCGGCATAGTATCGGCCCGTTGCGCTCACTTGGGGAGTGAATCATTGGACGGAAGATCTTCCTCTCTGTCTCTCCTCTCTGTATATCCGCCTTTCCAATGAAAAAATAATAAAAATAAATCTTTAAAAAAAAAAAAAGAAAATTGAATATCAAAATGGGAAGAAGAAATAACGGAGCTAATTTGCCCTTTGCGTTTCTACCAGGAGATGTTGTAACAGAGTATTTCTTTAACTTATCCATGCAAACACCAGTTGTTAATCACTCAGTAAATGTTTCTCTGTATAGAACAACAACAGAGAGACTGAGAACAGCTGTTGGGAGACAGGCAAGTCAGCGGCAAGCTCATCAGCTAAATCAACCTGCCGCCTGGTGAGGAGGCGCTTGGGAGGGAGGGGCGAGAGCTGATGTAGAGAGACAGGATTCCATGGCGGCCAGCTGCCTCCTTGAGAAAGGTGCCCTGGCTCATGGGGTTGGAGGACCATAAAAGGGCACTGTTCCCGTGGTGTCAGAGCAGGTCCTGAGGGCTTCCCGTTTGGGAAGGAGACAGAGACTCCGTCTTCCCGCTCTGCGGCCCCCAGTGCACAGCCACGGGCCTCAGCAGCTTCATCCCGGGACACTGCTCACCAGGACCGCCTGGCCTGCTTTCTATGCGAGGGAAGGCAGTCAGGAAAACATAGCCTGCTGCGATTTACGCTCTGGCGTTCACACTGTTGTGAAAACCTGGAGCAGCTGGATCGCATCCCAGGCTCCCGTGGACACCGAGTTTGACTCTGAATGAAAGCCTTTAAAGAAGGGGGAGTTGGCCTCTGGGGGGTCTTGGGCTCCGCAACAGCCCAGTGTTCTTCCCCCACCCCCATCAGCTAGACCGTGGGGCTTCCCCAGGGGGCACTCGACCCTGGGTACCAACCTGCCCCTGGGTGTAGCTCACAGCTTCCAAAGGCCTTCTCTTTGGATTGTGAGCTGTGGGGCTCAACCACAAAAATAAGCATGGATGAGAAAAGGAGGCTTGGCACCGATTTAAAGCGCCAGCCTGCAGGAGTCTAACCACCTCCTGCAAGACCCCGGGCCAGCAGCGTTTGAGGCTGTTTATGCCACCATCTCATGCTTGTTTCTCTCATGCCCTTTGACGTTCATGTCTCTGCAGGATCTCCAATGAAAACTACGTCCCACACGGGCTCAAGGTGGTACAGTGTCACATCCAGGGTGGCCTGCGCTCCCTCATGCAGCTGGAGAGCCGCTGGCGCCAGCACTTCCTGGACTCCATGCAGCCCACACACCTGCCCCAGCAGTGGTCGGTGGATCACAACCATCAGAAGCTGCTCCGGAAATACGGGGACGACCTTCCAATCAAGCTGTCATGAGTGCTGCCCCTGCTCAGGTTAGGACGGGTGGGAGGCCACGGCCGAGGTGGAGTGGTCCCGTCTTCCTGTTGGACTGCATCATTATCAGTTGTCAGAGCCCGGGTCAGGATGCTAGCCTGTACTGATCCTGGATCTCCTGGAGCCGTCAGGGTGCGATCTTAAGGGCAGCTCAGGGTTTTTGGATTTTAATTGAGCAAGAGCAGTACGCATGCTTTTTTCCCCCTCTTGTTTGGTTTTTGTGAGCAGGAAAGGCCTCGACCTGTATTTCCACTCCCCTTTTGCCTTTCCTGCACCACTGGAAACTAAGGATTTCTCCAAGAAGCCACTTGTCCAGACTCTTAGATCGTCATTTTTTTAGCACACTGCCTGCCTGTGAAGCACACCGATTGGCCTCAGTGCCCTGGCAGAGGTCGGACGCCCAGGGCAGCCCTTCCCCTAGGATCATTTTCTTTGGCTTCATGCTCTCCTGTGACTCACCGATCCCAAGTGGCTTGCTTCCGTTGGTCTCCCAGGCTTGACTGTGCTCCCCTTGTCACACTGGAAGAAACACAGCAGTGTCCCGCTGCCGTGCGCGCTGCCCCCTTTCAGGGAAGCCCTCTGCTGCAAGTAGAGGTGGGGCGGTGGGGCCAGGGCAAGCGCTGGGCTGTCCTCCCGGTGTGCCCAGTGCTTCGGTTCCTGGCTCAGCTCTTCCCTCTGTGATGTTTGCTTGCTTCTTGCATGCCCCCTGCCCAGCACTGCAAGCATTTCTGGCTCTCTCCCTTCCTAAGGGGGACATTCTATTTTTCCAGAAACTGTCAGCTCCATGTACTTTGGGTTCCATGAATTTGGTGACACCGACCTTGTTTTGGCACGTAATGTACTCTAGAGGTCAGTGACCCTGGAACCACCTTGCCATTTCGCCTGAGGCCCGGGGCCCCAGGGTCAGGGAGCCCCGTAGATGTTTGGGAGGGTGATGTTTCATCTTTCAAAACGTTAGTCACTGCCTTGAATATAAAATTAACTTATTAGTGATCGTACTTTTTCTAAAAATACTAAGGAAACTTTTACATTTTACAAGATCTTAACAAGTTTAAAAAGGACATTTTAAGGTCTGAACCAACGAGAGCTCTGTTTTGGAATTGTACCCAAGTTGGTGATGACTGGTCTAACCTTGATCGATTAAAACTTCTAAGCACAAGACTCACTGCTTGTCCATGTTAACACTCTTCTGTGTGGCTTTTTATAAAACGGACTGTGCGTGGGGGAGGAGTTATCTACCCTGCAGGTGCCTGCCCCGTGCAATCCATACACATACACACACACACACACACACACACACACACACACACACACACACACACACGGCACCATAGGCCAGTAGCAGCTGCCCCACAGCCTGTATTTTGGCCTTCTACCACAGGAGTGGGGAACATCAGGCCAGCAGGCCCTACAAAGAGGCAGCATCGTGCTGATGCAACCACAGTCAGGACTCACAATTCAATAAGTCTATAGCAGGCTGATTTTAAGCTGATAATTGGTGTATAGTCCACAAGTGATGCCATGCATATCGGACTGGCCCTTAGAATAGGCATTTCTGGGATCTAAACTAGAAATTCGTGAAAGCCAGTGGCACTAGCCACTTTGAGGGATGTCTTCCCAGTATGGTAGGTGAATTGTAGGCCTGTGCCTCCTGGCTGTGTTGTGCAGGGCCTGGGGTGGAGGGGGCCTTGGAGAAGAAAGGAAAACAGCAGTACCTATTCCTGTTTGGAGTCAGGCTTGCCACAAGGTGGCGCTCGTAGCTTTGTGTTTAAACTCATTCTTAAGTGGCTCTGGTACAGTTACTGAGCCTAACCCTTATCTGTTTTTGAGTCATTTTAAGAAAACTTTCTTCCTCTGAGAAGTGCAAATATGGATTTTTGTTTTGTCTGATCCCCATGTTGGGAGCTGAGAAACACGTGGGGCTCATGTGGGTGTTGTGGCCACAGGAGAGCTTCTGGCCAGACCCAGTGAGGGCGGAGGAAGAGCCAGGCAGGGCGTGCAGGGTTCCTCTCCCAGCCCAGGAGGTTTGCTCTGCTGTGCGGCTTTGAATCGTCATCCTCTGCATCTGCCCTCAGCTTTAGGGCTGACAGGTGCCATCTCAAATGAGAGATTTTAGAGTAATATGTTTTATAACAAAATGTTTTTTCCTCTGATATAAACATAATATGTCTTCTTATAAAAGAAGGGTCTGGAAAGAGAATAAAACTAATTTATCTCAAGGCCAACGCAATAGTTAAGTTGGCTAATCCTCTGCCTACAAGCCCCGGGATCCCGTAATGGTGCTGGGTCCTGTCCTGGCTGCTCCGTTTCCCCTCCAGCTCTCTGCTTATGGCTGAGGAAATCAGTGGAGGATCTTACACTCGGGACCTAACACTGACCTGGGAGACCATCAGGGAACTTGTGGCTCCTGGCTCCTGGCTTCAGATCAGCTCAGCTCCTGCCCTCATGGCCTTTGAGGGAGTGAACAAGCAGATGGAAGATATTTCTCATTCTGTCTCCTTCTCTCTGTAAATCTGCCTTCCAGGTAAAAACAAATAAATCTTTGAAAAACAAAACAAACTCCATGTGTGTTATCCGCCCCCCTCCCTCCAGTAGCACAAGGGTAAATGATAACGAGTTTACTTTCAGAATCTAAAGATGTGTGTAAGGCCTAAGCCAGAACTGGACATCCTACAGATCCACGGACTGCTGCCTGGCTCCCCCCCACCTCGCGGGAGGCTCCGCTCAGCTGAGCATCGCTGCAGCGTGAGAGCTTTGCTTGTTCCGGTTCCTGGTCATGAGCGATGGACATGCGGAGTCGTCTCCAGTGTTTCCGGTATTTCTTTGGACCTTTGAAGCTACACCGTGAAGAGGAGAGCGCTCACTCCGCAGCGGGTACCAACTGGCGGCGAGGGACGGCTGCCCGTGTCTCATGGTGTCCCACAGGCTTCCACGGGAGTGCCAGTGAGCGCTCAAAGGCGGCCTCCCCTGCCGTGTCTCCTGCCCCGTGTTGCTTCATTGCCCTCCTGCAGTCGGTGTCTTTTAGAAACATAATTGACTTGAAAATACAAGGTTAAGAAGAAAATAAAAAAAGAACTTATTTTAAAAGAAAGGTGATAGAGGCCAGTGCTGTGGTATAGTGAGTGAAGCCTCTGTCTGTGGTGCTGGCCTTCTCTCACCTGGATGCCTTTTTGAATCCTGGCTGTCCACTTGCAGTCCAGCTGCCTGCCAATACATCTGGGAAATCAGTGAAAGATGGCCCAAGTGCCTGGGCCCCTGCGCCCTTGTGGGAGAAGCTCGGTGAAGTTCCTCAGTGTGGCCCAGCTGTGCTGTTGTGCCCGTTTAGGGAGTGAGTCGACAGATGGAAAGTCTCCTCTGGGTCTACTCTCTGTGACTCTGCCTTTCAGGTAAATAAACCCTGTGAGTAAGCAGAGGTGAGAGACGGGTTAGCAGTTCACCACCCCGGGGTGAAGGAGGCGTGGTCTGGGGGGGTTTCTTGTTGCTCAGGAAGCGGTTTGTTCTCACCTGTGTCATGCATAGAGCTCTGATGACAGCTCTGCTGATGTGTCAGTCCCTCCTGTTAGACTCCTAGGCTCCCAGCAGGCAGAGGAGCTGCCGTCAGCACCCTCTTCTGCTGCTGCTGTAGGGCCGTAACACGTTAGTGTCGCTACCTTCCTGCTTTGGCCTGCCTCCAGCTTAACTTTCGTTCTCTCTTCTTTTTTTCCCTTCCTTATGCCTCACCCTGTGGAGAACTGCTCGTTTTTTTCTTGTTTACTAATTACTATGTATTCTAAGTGAATCTTCTCTCTTTTCCTGGTCTTTCATCCTATCTACTCTAAGACTGCCACTATTGAGCACCTGATTCCTTCAGGAATTCGGTGAGATGATGAGATTGGCCGAAAGATTGATTAACTCTATGGGAGCAGCCTTACGGTGCAGACGGTTAACCACTGCTCTGAGTGCTAGTACCCAAGAGCCAGTGCAAGCTAATGTGCTTGGGCCGGCAGAGGGAGGGTGATGACCCAAGTGCTTGGGTCTCTGCCATCCGCTTGGGAGAGCAGGATAGGGTTTCTGGTTCTAATTTTTGACCCAGCTCAGACCTGGCTATTGCAGCCTTTTAGGGAGTGAACCAGTGAGTGCAAGATCTCCGTCTCCGTTTTTCCCTTTCTATGTAAACCCTGTCTATTAAATAAATAAATAAATAATCTTTACCTGAAAAAAAAAAAAAAGATAGCCGTCACACAGTGCAGCGAAGCCTCTATTTAGGATTCGGCTGATCTTCTCAGCCATGCCCCACATTGTATTCTGGTCCTGGCCAGATTTCTGCCTGGCACATTTGTGAGTTTTGTTGCTTCAGGTGGCAGAGCAGGGCTAACAGGCAGACGTGACCTGGGACCGCAAGTCCTGTTCCAGCAGCCTGCCAGGAGCTGCCCGAGTCGCTCCCTGTGCTTCAACGTCTCCGTGTGTCTCTGATGTGTTGCTTCCTTCTCAGATTTGAGGCCAGCTCTTGCTGGAGGCCCCTTGGACACTGGATGAGTGCGTGGGGGTCAGGAGTGTCACAGGGCCTGCTCCACCCCTCCTGGCTTGATTCTCACAGGGTGCATGCTGTCACAAAGGTCACAGCTGTGCGCTGCTCTGAAAGGGCATGATGTGGTTGAGGTTTTCAGGTGAAGGGAAATTAGTAATAATACATCACTGATAGAGAACTGACTAAAACTGGGTACTTCAAAGGCAAACCTTAAGCTGATAAGTAAAATTTCCTCCCGCCCTCTTTTATTCTTACTACTATTTGGCCCACTGTTATTCATCTGGGAGTCTTGAAACATGACCGACTCGGGATCAGTCTGTGGACTTATTTGTCTGACCCTGGCCTCTGTGGACTTTGCCCTGCTTACCCTGGCCTTGGCCTGGGCAGCAGCTCAGATGGATGTGTGTGAAATGTAAGGTTTGCATCCCGTAAGATGTCTCTGAATCGCCGGTTTCCATGCACCGACAGCAGATATGTTTTTCCAGACCATCTGTGCAATTGGTTTCCGTGACGGACACAGAGCACAGGCTTTTCTGTGTGTTAGCGCCGGTTTGTTCTGAGTATGCTCAACTCAGATCTCCTTTCACAGCCGTTCACAGGAGCCCCTAGTTTCTGCCAACTTGTGCTCATCTTTTCTTGCTCCAGAAATAGTGAGCACACTTTCAAAGAAGTTCAGGTTCATGTCTGCCTTCTTCCAGGTGGGACCTAATTGATCTAAACTTCTGACCAGCTTTGTTACATCTACAGAGCCAGCGAAAGCCCCAGTCAGCTGACTTGGCTTCTTCCTAATCAAGATCTGCACGTTTGGCCCTGGAGGCTTGGGAGGCCTGCGTTACAGCACATATGGTTTCCTCCGAGTTCTTGGATCCAACAAACAGGGCTAAAGCTGGCTCTGCCAAGGAGCGTAAGAGGACTTGGGGTAGTTCCCAATCTCCCCCGGCTGCCCCACCGTCAAGTATTATACAAGTGCAGAGCAGTTGGCTGCTGTCCTCTCAAACCATCATCAGAACTTGACCTTGGCCAAGATTTTGCCTCATCTCCTCGGCATTTCAGCCCCGAGTTGCGTTTCAGCCATGGAATGCTTAACCAAAAGCACATGCTCGTAGTGGTGGTTTCCAAACAGCAAGTTTTTGCAAAAAAGTCCACATAGAGTTGTTTTCTTAAAACAACAGCTTTCTCTGAAGCAGCAACCCACCAAACCCTCCATGCAGTGACTCTGTGGCTTATTTTTGACACAAGGACTGGAATGGTGTTGCTAACAATACTTTATCCAATGGAAACACAAAGAAGCTACAGCAAAGCACACAGATCTGAAGAGTGCAGCTTGACAGGTTTTGACAAATGCATCCATCCCAGTAACCATCCAGGACCAAGGGTTTTTTGGGGTTTTTTTCCCCTTTATTTTTGACATTCTTCACATAGTTAATTAGGGCAAAAAGGTTCAAGAGCTATAGGAAAGTGGGTAAGACTATTATTTCCACATTGCTTATGTTATGCATCTTGGGTAAAGGGGAAGATAAAGGGAGAAGCCACACCCAGTCTCCCACGCATCCCAGGTCCCTGATGTGGAGCATGCTTCGAGGGTCTTGCTCAAGTGGTTTTGATAGTTCAACAGTTATGAATTGCTGGCAGTCTCACCATTCCAAGCACAATGAGGTCTTTGAAGAATCCACTG